CTTGACAAGTTTGTTCAACAAATACTGAACATCTGAAACATGTCAGGCAAGACTCCAAGTCCTGAGAGTTTACAGTCAAGGCCATAATCTCACGGAGCTGCCATTCCAGGGAGTATTTATTTCAGGATTAAATGAAATAAAATGGATACAGAGCTTGGTACATGAACAAAAGCACTCAAGTCACTACCATCAAGTCAGTTCAGACTCAGACTTGTCATTGGAGTTCCAAGCTGTGATTAATGGGAGGGGACTGCCCATCTTTCTCCCTCTGACCCATTGATGGAGACACGAAGCCTTGGATTAGCATCACAGCTTGCTCCAGACCACCACAAGAGCTCTCTTGGCCCATCAACAAATGGACAGGAAAAACTATGGTATATACATACATACAGTGGAATACTATGCAGCACTGAAAAGCAAGGAAATAATAAAATATTACATAGCATGGGTGACCCTGCAGGACATTATGCTGAGTGAAATATCTCAGTCACAGAAGGACAAATATTGCTTAATACCACTATTATAAAACAGGACTGACATGAGGGTCAGGGGGAAATAAAGCAAATAGGGGATAAATAATGAATCTGCATTGGAACAAATGAAGAAAAGAACTGTTTAAAAGGAATATGTGATTAGACATTATACATATGACAAGAGCCCAGAATAAGAGGTACATTGCAAAGAGGACTGGAGGGTTGGGAGGAGGGAGGTGCAACAATGAATATTTTTTTTAAAAGTGACATAATGCCTGCACATGGTAGAGGTCTCTTATTTAGATGATGAGATAAATGTTAAAAAAAGTGAACTAGGAATGGGAAAGGGAGAGAGGGAGTAAAATGTGCAACAATGAATGAATGAAAATATAATTTTTCTGTAAACTTTCATTAAAATCACAAAAATTTTCTAAAAAAGAGCTCTCTTTATATATAATAGGTACTCAATATGTGATGTGACTTCTAAGATTTTGAAGTCCTTTTCCAGATTTGAAACCACCTGACAGACACAGAAGAGTCAGACAAATGGAGATAGAGAAAGTGGAGATTTAAGAAGTGGGTTTATTTTGCACTTAATGAAATAAAGAAAAATGGATTGGAGGATACACTTGAGATGTTCAACCAAAACCGGCTGCTGAATACTCCCTCTGGGTTAAACACATGCATGTGTGCGCGCACACACACAGCAGTAGACCAGGCCCAACCTGATGAGCTTAACTCTTCAAAGTCGAGTCTGAGGACACTTGCTGTCTCTGGGTAAGTAACTCTGAAGGAAGAGGGTGCTGAGCCGAACGTGCTCAGTTTCTTCTGTAAACTCCACTCCATCCTGTTATCCCATCCTCCACTTACTACAAAATCATCGAGACAAGAATGTCGGCCATGTGATGAGGACCAGTGACCAGTGAGAGGAGGAGATAAGCCACTTCATTTCCCCTTTGACCCAGCCCAGGCCCTCCAGGACATCCTGTGCCAGAACCAAGCAGGGGGCAGTGCATGGGCTGGTCATTTGTTTTCTCTGCCATGTTTTCTCCACCTCCCTTGCCATGAATACCTTTGCCTGTCTCTGCTTTGTTGAGGATCAGCTAGTGGAAGACAGTAGCTGACGACTGAGGCTGAGAGCAATGGAGAAACCATGATATTTCTCTCTCCAGGGACCTCAGGTGGCCTAGTGGTACGGAGTTGTGCTACCAACCCTAAGGCATGCAGTTTGAATCCAGCAGTTGCTCCATGGGGGAAAGATGAGTGATCTCCTTCCATGTAATGTGTAGCCTATGTCATCAACTATGGGTCAGTTCTGATTTAGTGGCACCAAACAAAAACTACATGAGCTAAAGTGCAGAGCCAAAAGATTGACAGTTGGAATCCACAAGTTGATTCAACTTGATGGCATCTAACAAAGCCAATTAACAAAGCTAAGGCACTCTCATGGTTCACTCCATAACCAGATCTGCCTATGGAATCCATGAGTTGATCCGTGAAAGAAAGATGGGTCATCTACTCCCATTAGGATTGGGAGCTAGCTTGGAAGCTTGGAGGGTTACTGGGTCAGAAGTGATGCCATAGCAGTGGGATGGTGATGGAGATACTGTTCCATCTCAAGTGGCATCTTGAGCAATGGTTGTGCCTCCTCTGTGACTTTGACTCTGACCAAACTCTCCTTGCCTCCTTGGCCCCTCCCTTTTCAAGTCCCTCCCTGTACCCTCTGCATCAGCCTGCAGTGCTTTTAGCTCCCAGCCGGTGGTCCTGGCCGTGAGAGGAGCCATTATGGAACAGCTTCCCGGCATAGCTGATATTTAGGCTGCTTTTCCATGCTTTACTTGGCCTCTTCTTTCTTCCCATTTACAACGATCTCTAACATCAGATCCCTCCCATTGGATGACATGACCTAGTTTTGATTTCTCAACTGGACCGTGGCAATTACAGGAGGAGGCAAAGGAGGAGCCTCTCTGTGCTGAAGAGAAGGCTGCGTACAGTCCTAGGAGGAGATAGCACTCTTGATCGAGGCTCTCACCATTCTCTCGCCTAATTCCAGATTCCTGGGGAGGGAGCAGATTGTACCTGCCTGACTACGAGGTGTTCACTTCAGTGGGTGAGTAGGAAGTTAGAAGGATTCAGCAGCACGGAACAGATGCTCCTTATACTGAGTCTGATAGGTGGTCACCTTACCAGCATCCAGTCCTGGAAATATTTTTACACCTACTCTGAGAAAAGTAGAATACAGCAAGAGGTGAGGGCAGTAGTGAGAAACAAATCTCCCCTGGGCTGTAGGTTGTGGAGACTGTCCTAGTTCCAGTCTCTCCAGTGCTTAAACCATCCCACCGGGCCAGCAGAGGTATCCACCTGATTGTAGTGGAGGCTTGAAGCTGTACTTGCAAGCTATAGGGCTGAGAGCGTGTCAATTATCTTTATTAAAACACGGTGAGCCTTGACAGAAATTGTTAGGTAATCCCCTACCTAAAACCATTCACCTTTTGTTGCTGCCACTGATTTTGCCTTAATACCACCTTCATTCACTGCTGTCCCATCGATTCCAACTCTTAGTGAGCCGTATTAGGTTTCCAAGGCTGTAAGTCTTAAAACGGAGACTGCCATCTTTTTTTCCCTTGGCGCTACTGGTGGACTCGAACCCCTGGAGATGTACAGCTTTCGGTTAGCAGTGCTACATGCTGCAGGCTGTGCTGCCAGGATGCCTTAATAATAAATAGAACTCATCACAAGAACATGGAAACAGCCCTGATGTCCAACCACAAACGAATGGATTGAGAAGTTGTGGTACATCCATACAATGGAATATTACAAAGCATACAGGAGCAATGCTTTTGTAAATTACAACCAAACTTGGAACTAGAGAGCATTATGGTGAGTGAACTAATGCAGTCTCACAAGGACAAATACTGTATAAAACCATTACTGTAGAATGGGTATGAGGATCCAAGACAGAAGGGTGGAAGTAGAGGGGTGAGGATGGGGGGGTGTAGGGTGTTAATTATAGGGTTGCACAATTTGATGGGTGGGTGGGGTAAACGAAATGGGAAGAATCTTTTGTGAAAAACAATGTATTCAAACTTTTAAAATAAATCCGTATATAAAAGGGGGGGGAATAATAAATAGAACTGCAACCACTATGGAAGGCTGTATGGCACTTTCTCATAAAGTTGCAAATAGAAATATCATTTGACCCAGCCATTCCACTACTAGGAATTTACCCTAAATAAACCATAACTGCCACCCAAGCAGATACACTCACACCCATGTTTATTGCAGCTTTGTTCGCAATAGCAAAGAGCTGGAAACAACCTAATTACCTATCAACAAACAAATGTATAGAGAAGCTCTGATATATTCACACAATGGAATTCTATGCAGCATTGAAAAGTAAGGAACTCATGGATATATTATGCAAAAATGAGTGAAATATCTCAGTCACAAAAGGACAAATATTGCACAGGGCCACTGTTGTAAAATGGATCGACATCAGGGTTGAGGCAAGGCAGAAAAGGAGGTGAGGAATGATGTATATTGTATTGAAACAGATGAGGGAGAGATCTGTTTAAAAGGGATATATGAATGGGTATTCTTGTCATTACAGAAGTCCAGAAGGCTGCATAGTGGAGTGAATTTGTGAGGAGGGATTGCACAACAATGAAAGAGTTTTTCTTTTCAAGAAGAGTGATTTGGGTGGGAGGGAGTGGGCAGGGAGTAAAATGCAGCAATGAGTGACTGGAAACCCTAAGTCTGTAAACTTTCATTAAAATTAATAAGTTAAGGGAGTTCTGGTGGCCTAGTGGCAAGACACTGCACTGCAATCCCAGAGTTATGCGGTTCAAATCCACCAGATGCTCTGCTGGAGGAGGAGGGGGCAATCTCTTCCTGTACCAGTCAGATCTGATTTGAGGGTACATGTAAAAATAATACAATAAAAATAAATTTAAAAAATTGATAAGTTAAAAAAGAAATGCCAATAAAATAGATGAACATTTGGGGGGGGGTGAAGAATAGGAAAAAAAAACATATATATATAGGCTCAGACTATTTCTTACACGCACCATTTTAAAGACCTTTCTTGGTCTCAGGGCTTCCCCATTGGTTCCACAGCCCAGATGTGCGCAACCCACGATGCAGGGGAATTGACCTTGGATGAGGCAGAAATTAACCAGTGGAGGAACAAAGTCAATGCATACATTCCTCCCCTTCCCCCTTCAGCCTGCCTACTCCCATAAGGGATGGTTCTGAGATGCTGTGTATTCAACTGAATCTTCTTTCTCCGGTGCACCCTCCCTCCTTCCCAGATATAATCCCTATGTCCCCTCTCTGCTCCATGAAACTATACTCCTTACTGAAATCATAACACATAAACCATCTGCTTTCTGGAGGCTCCAGCCTAAGACATTCCTATTCTTCATGTAGAAGAAACTCTCCTCATCCCATTGCTGTTTTCAAGAGAAAAAGAGACACTTGTGACAATAAAACGACAGCATTTTATTGGAACAGATGCACAGATTTTCCCTAGTATTCATCCCCTTCTTCCTCTTCTCCCTCCCCCTCCACACTATCCATGCCCACTTCCTCGTAATCCTTCTCCAGGGCAGCCATATCCTCTCGGGCCTCAGAAAACTCACCCTCTTCCATGCCCTCACCCACGTACCAGTGCACGAACGCCCTCTTGGCATACATCAAGTCGAACTTGTGGTCCAGGCGGGCCCAGGCCTCGGCGATGGCGGTCGTGTTGCTCAGCATGCACACAGCTCTCTGCACCTTGGCCAGGTCACCCCCGGGCACCACAGTGGGGGGCTGGTAGTTGATACCAACCTTGAAGCCTGTCGGGCACCAGTCCACAAACTGAATACTACGCTTGGTCTTGATGGTAGCAATGGCGGCGTTGACGTCCTTGGGCACCACATCTCCACGGTACAGCAGGCAGCAGGCCATGTACTTGCCGTGACGGGGGTCACACTTCACCATCTGGTTGGCTGGCTCAAAGCAGGCATTGGTGATCTCTGCCACCGACAGCTGCTCGTGGTACGCCTTCTCTGCAGAGATGACTGGTGCGTAGGTGGCCAGGGGGAAGTGGATGCGAGGGTAGGGCACCAGGTTGGTCTGGAACTCTGTCAGATCCACGTTCAGGGCTCCTTCAAAGCGCAGGGAAGCGGTGATGGAGGAGACGATTTGGCCGATGAGCCGGTTGAGGTTTGTGTAAGTTGGACGCTCGATGTCCAGGTTGCGGCGGCAGATGTCATAGATGGCCTCGTTGTCCACCATGAAGGCACAGTCTGAGTGCTCCAGGGTGGTGTGGGTGGTCAGGATGGAGTTGTAGGGCTCCACTACAGCTGTGGACACCTGAGGGGCTGGGTAGATGGAAAACTCCAGTTTGGACTTCTTGCCATAGTCCACAGAGAGCCGCTCCATGAGGAGTGAGGTGAAACCGGAGCCCGTGCCCCCTCCAAAACTGTGGAAGATGAGGAATCCTTGGAGCCCTGTGCACTGGTCAGCCTGGAGAGTTAAAAGGAAGACAAATGGGGTGGGGGATAGAGAGGGGAAATGTACAACAATGAATGAATGGAAATCCAAATTTTCTGTAAACTTTCTTTTAAATCACAATAAAAAATATTTTTTTAAAGAAAAAAAGGAAGAGAAATACAGGATGTAGATGCTCAGGGGACAAACAGAAAACAACCAATTGATGCTATTTCAAATACCCAAAAGATTCAGAGAGTCCTGGAAGACTTTCCCAAGAGCACAAGATAGATCCTCATATGGAAAATCCAGTCTTTCTCTTATTCTTCCATTTTCCTGGGGCCCTTAAAAATCAGCTCCTTCATCTTTCACAACAGCCCCTTTTGTCATCCTAACTTGCCACTGTGACTCTCACACCCATGCCCTCCTCATCTACCTTCAGGTGTTTCCAAGGAATTTTCTCTACTGAGATCAACAATCCAGGAACTTGGTTCCTCTTTTTTAAGGGGGTCAAAGCAATCATAGGGCCTTAGACCGTACTAAGGCCCCTGTTTTTCAGGGTACCTCTGGGTACATCTGTTGCAACATAAAATGCCCTTCTGGGATTGTTGTTGTGAAGTGTTGTCGAGTCATAGGCTACTCATAGCGATCCTATGAATGAAAGTCCTGGACACCTGTATAACTTTCCTCCTTTCTCCAGTTCATAGGGTTTCCAGAGGCAAGTTATCATGGAAGTGGATCCCACTCCTGCTTTCAAGCTTGTTTTAATCGCTATAGCCATAACTTGGTCAGGTAGCCCGTGGGTATATTTGCACTAGTCTCAGCGCTGCCCTGTTCAGCATGGACTAGTTGCCAAAGCGGATACCAACGATGTCTAAGAACATTCCCCGCTGGGCCCTCTCTCTGGTCCTGATGTTGCATGAACCTCTAACAACCTCTCCCCACTGCCTGATCTCCACTTTAAGGCTAGAACCCAGTTCCTTTGGCCCTTCTCTCACCAGCTTCCGAATCCGGTCCAGCACCAGGTCGATGAGCTCCTTCCCAATGGTGTAGTGGCCTCGGGCATAGTTATTGGCTGCATCCTCCTTGCCTGTGATGAGCTGCTCTGGATGGAAGAGCTGGCGGTATGTGCCCGTCCGAACCTCATCTGCAATGGGTAATGTTGGAGACCTCATTTCCCCTCACATCTGGTTCCCGGAGTTGCACAGTAACCAGAAAGGGAGGGAACCCAGGGAAACCCCCCAGGTCCTGACCCTCGAAGAGCCACATTCAAGCTGCTGCTGCTGTCCCTAATAGGTGTTCTTCAGTGACAAGAAAAGGAACATAAGGATGACTGACCTAGACCCCAAGAGTTAAGTGATAGTAATTCTGCAGATGTGGAGCTTTGAGCAACTGGGGAGCGATATAACCACAAACTCCAGAGTGCTTCAGTTACAGAGAGGGGCTTGCTATTGTATGTAGAGACAAGGTCAAGGTCAGTCCAGGGAGGGCTGCCACTCACCAATTACTGTGGGCTCCAGGTCCACAAACACTGCTCGGGGCACATGTTTTCCAGCCCCAGTTTCACTGAAGAAGGTGTTGAAGGAGTCATCCCCTCCCCCAATAGTCTTGTCGCTGGGCATCTGGCCATCAGGTTGAATCCCATGCTCCAAGCAGTAAAGTTCCCAGCAAGCATTGCCGATCTGCACACCAGCCTGCCCAACATGGACTGAGATGCACTCACGCTGAGGGAGCAGAGGACAAAGGACACCCTTAGCATGGAGAAGCGATTATGCTTGGATATGTTCCCACCTTCCTTCTTTGGGTGGTTCTCTGGCTGAGAGCAAAGGTTCCAAGAACCTGCTCCCCTTGCCCCACCTCCTGTAGCTAAGTATTTGCTGGTGCCATTGAGGACCAACAGGCCTTGACTCTACGGGCAGGGCCAAACGCAAGGGGAAGCAGAAGATGTGGGAAGTCCTAAGATTAAAGAGTCTTGTCCGGTGACTAAGCATTTTGAGGAACCTTGAAAGGGATCCAAGGAGTCTGCTGAAGCATGATAGCCAAGCCGCTCCTGCTCAGAATGAGATGTGGGGCCACTGATGAGAGAATGGAGCTCCTGGGTGGTGAAAATGGCTAATGCACCTAACTGCTAATTAAAAGGTTAAGAGTTCAAGCCCACACAGAGATGCTTCAGAAGCAAGGCTTAGTGATTGAGAAAAAAAAAAATCTGTCCTAGGAAGCTTTATGGAGTACATTTCTACCCTGAGATGCTTGGGCTGCCATGAGTCAGAACTGATCCGCCCGGAACCAGTGGTGAAAGAAAAAACAAAAACAAAAAAAAAAAAACAACCAAGACCCAATGTAGCTTCAGGGCTTGGAAAAAGAACTCCGAAAACCAAACCCAAAGCCAGTTCCAAGTCAGCTGGGCCCCGCTGGGTTTCCGAGGCTGTAAATTTTGAGATCAGACTGTCTGACTCATCTTCCTCACCTGAAATGACTGGTGGATTGGAACTGATAACCTTTTGATTAGTAGCCCGACACTTAACCCACTCTATTGCCAGGGCCGCTTCTGAGATAAGGACATTTAGAAAAGCAGAGAGAACATTGGATTCATGTTCCAGTTAGAAATATCCATGAGGAAAGCAAGAGTGGGCTGGGAACATGGAAGGCCCATCAAGGCTTTCATGGGCACTAGCTGGTTCTTCTCTGGATGGATGTTGGCTCTGGAGTAGACTGAGTCAGGGAAGAAAATTTCTTCCTGTGTGACTCAAGGCTGATGGTCAAGGATCTCTTGTTCCCTGAAGTAGGACTGGAATAACTTGCTTGTTTCTGGAAAATAGAGATTTATGCTCTTCCTGGGGTGCTCCAAGAAAACTATTTTCCCCCTATCTTCTGGCTTTATTAAATCCTGCTTCTACTATGTGCTTGGGATACATAACCCAAAAACATGACCCTTGCTCCCAAGCCTGGTGTCCAAGGAAGGGAGAGTCTGATAGATCGTTAACAGATAAATGACAATGTGGTAAAAGGGACACCAGAGCAAATCATGCTCTGCTTGAAAAGTAATTACCACAGACAGATCTTAAAAACAAATGCAATAAAAGATGTAAAAATTGAAAAAAAAAAAAAAACAAAATCAAACCCACCCCTCAAATTTGCCCAAACTTTAAAACTTAGTCAAGCAGAAATTGGGAGCTCTCACAAGACTAGTGGAATTCTATGTGAGTCATCTTCTTTGGAGAATAATTTGGCAGCATCAATTAAAGTTGAAGATATTCGTGCTCTAGAGAAATGCTCATAAAGGTAAACAAGAAAACAAGTGCAGGAGCAGCTACATCACGGTAACGTAGCAACTGAAGCCAGCACCCATCCTTCAACAGGAGAGAATGGATGAATGATTCACAGGTGGAAATGAACGGACTCCAAGAAATAATCCCACATGGAAAATACAGAGGAAGAAAACAAATTGAAAAGAATCACATGCTATACCACTTGATGTCTCTAGAGGAGGCCTGGTGGTGCAGTAGCTAAGCATTTGGCTGGATTCAGTCATTCCACAGGGAGAAGACATGGCAGCGTGCTTCCATAAAGATGGATAACCTTGAGACCCCCGTTGGGCAATTCAACCTTGCTCTGTGGTCTCTCAGTCAGAATCAGCTTAACAAAGAGTGGTCTTGGTTTGATTTTAACTTGCAAAGCAACACCATACACTGCCTAACAAATAAATAAATCTATTTTGCTCTATGTTCTTATGATGTGTATGTATATTGTAAAAATAAGATAAAACATGAACACTAAATTCTGAATAAATGAGGGAAGTGGAGCAATCAGGGAGAGATTCTGTTGAACTAGTCTCAGGTGGCTCTTCCATTCTTCTTCCTACCTTTTTGCGTTTCTGGAGTATTTTTAAACGCTTTAATGAAATGCTCTCACAATATGAAATTTAACATTTCACTCACTCTTTGATATGATACAAGGGACTTGATTGCTTGGGATTTTTAGATAATCATGATTCATCTATGAATACCCTGCAGAAGTCTACCATATCATATATCACTTCTCTTCTCGTGAGTCAGAGTCTGGACCCGTCAGTGTCCTCCCTTGTGAAACAAGGGCCTTGGACCTACCTCCTAGAATTACTGTGAGGATTGTATAATGAAATGCACACAAAGCTCCTGGCTCATTCCCTAGTACCTAGTAGGGTTCACGTCACCAATCTTCTGCCCCTCAATCCCTGGTGTCAGAGTAAGGAGGCCCATGGAGGGAGGGGTGCAAGGACACAAGGACGAGAGAAATCTCAGGTCCAGGAGGGAGGCAGAGCTCCTGGTGGGTGTCAATGATTCATGTGTTTAGCTGTTAACTGAAAGTTTGGTGGTTTGACCCCATGCAGAGGCACCTGAATGACCAAGTCAGCCACTGAAAACTCCGTGGAGCGTGTCTCCCCTGACATACCATGAGTCAGAGTCAACTCGGAGATAACCGGTTTAGGAGGAAGTCTAACCAGGTTTACCAGTCCCTGCCCAGGCCGGAGCTGGCTGCTGCACTTCTTTCTGTGTTCTGTCCACCAGACCAGACACATAGACAGAGCTGCTGGCTGGCCTATGCTGGATGGCTGACCTCTCAGTTATGTCTAAAGGGCCAGGGGAAACAGCGTCGCTCGTACTGACCTGTAGCGCATTTGGGACAAAGACCTCAGCCTCTGGCCTGCCACATACCTAACCTCAAACCCCATTCCAAGTCTCTTCATCTCAGCTTCCCTCCTCCTCCTCAGCTGTCAAAATAGTCAGCTCTCCAGATAATAATAATAGAAGCCTTCTCATTGCACTCTTTAGCTGCCACTTAAAAAGCTTGAATTTAGGTATTGGGAGGCACTGCTTGTAAGCACTTCCCATACATTATCTCATTTCATTTTCACAACTCTCTCAAGCTGATGCTTTTATGATCTCATCTTACAGATGGGGAAATTGCTCTCAAAGAGATTAATCAACTTGCGCAAGATGATGAACAAAACAATGAATATTCTGGAGCCAGGGCAGCCTGGTTCCCACTATGCTTTTAATTCTTCTTCGATCTTGTCCGGTGGGGCAGTGAGTCAAAGATATCAAACACTCCACGCACTGCCCAGCTCCCTCTCTCTCGCCCCTGTCTCTCCCCACCAGTACCTAGTGAGAAATGAGAGGCCAGGCAGAGGCAGGCAGAGGGGCAGGGCTACAGGAGAAAGCGGAAGGCAGGGTTTCTATGGAGGACAAATTTCCCTAGCTAGGAGCTGGAACCAGGTTAACAGGGAGCTTACTGACAAGCCACATTCAGAGAGTCAGTCAGTGGAGGAAAGTACATTCCCCCTCAAGTTCTTCTGACACTTCCTTTGGGTGGCATGGTCCAGAGGTATTAAAAAAGTGGTGCCTTAAGGGAGCTCTGCTGGCCTAGTGTCAAGAAGCTGCACTGCAATCCCAGAGGTATGCAGTTTGAATCCACCAGATGCTCTGCTGGAGAAGGAGGGGCAATCTCCTCCTGTACCAGTCAGATCCAATTTGGCGGTACACATACAAAAATAATAATAAGATAAAAAGGAAAAGAAGTGGTGCCTCTCTGGTAATTTGAATGTCCTGAGGAAAAATATAGGCAATATCTTTTGGTGCCATTTACAACCTTCCAAAAACCCCCTGGAGGGTCAACTATGAGTCAAGGCCGACTTGACAGCAATGAGGTTGAGTTTTGAGTTTGGGGCTCTGTCATACCCTAAGTACCCTTTCCTTGCCCAACCCAAAGCATGCCCCTTTTACCTCATCTTTCAAGGGCCATTCACATTTGGAAGTCGCCCCTCTCCTTCACCTCATCCCATCACACACTGTAAACCCATGAATACCTGCACTCTACAACATTTCCCCACGCCACTTGGGCCCACAGGGACCCTCATTGCCTCAGCCCCTTCCCTGCTCACCATGCTTCCTGGCAGTTTTCTGTTCCTCTGTAGCTCAAGGAAAGGCAAGGATGATGTGTGATGGACTCACAGCCAGCTGGCCTCTTTATACTCTCTGGCCAGTCCTCAGGGGGTAATGTTGTTAGAAACAGCCCCAGGAGGGCAGGCCTGTTGGCCTGGTAACAAAGCCACAGGCAAGCACTGGGCCTGCCCCGACAGGGTGAGGTGGGGTGAGCAGAGGAGGGCCTGCGCTGATAACACCACACCAGTGTTAGAAGTTAGCTGTTGGATCATTTGGAGCCGGAGCCCTGGGAAGGAGAGTTATAGTTGGAATAAAGTGCCTTGCCGTTTCAACTGGACTTTGTAAATGAGCTATTAGAGTCCAGACTGAGCGCATATACCAGAAAAAGCAAACAAGAGGGCCAAATGTGGGAGGTCCAATCATCCGGGAGATGTGCATGTTGCCTTATGGGAAGATGCCAATGCCTTAGAAAGCTGGCATGCGCAGTAAGACTTACCTGCACAGCACCTGATTACCGGAATAATCAGTGGTATCGTGAACAGCTGACCAGAGTGGGAATCGCCAGCAGCAACATCCCATCGGCCCAAGTACCACTCACCTGTGAAGCACGGAGCTCACCCTACGAGAAGCAGACTGGTTACATAAGCCCCCAGCTCCTTTCTGAGAGGGTCTCGTTCCTCTCTCTGAAACGTACTGTCTCTACTTTCCTAATAAGTTTACTTCTTTCACCTCCGCTTTTATCTCCTTGCCTTCTTTCTCGCCACGTGGGGCATCCCGAAACTTTGCAGGCCTTAAGCTCTCCGGAGCTATGGCACTGAACACCGGCTCTCTTAAGAGCCACTGAAGTTGTTTGCATTCTCTGATGCTTCTCTGTTGCCATGGACCTTCCTGTTGTCTGCCACCTGGCTCAAGTTCTGTGTCCAGGCAAGGGAGACCGAAGCCACCGCACCTGTCACATGGTAGCTGCGTCTGTGCCGGAACTTAGGAGCACAAACTGCGTGTGAGCTGTGCTGAACCTGGTAACACAGGTATCGAGGCCCCCGGGTACAAGGTGTTTGTTGCTTACTCACATGAGCCTATCTCTTGGTGATGATCCTGGCCCTTACAGGCGAGACAGGATTTAGAAATCAAGCCCCCTGGGCTCCAGCTGGATTGGTGTGAGTGAAGCTAGGAAGATGTCTGCAGTGAACCAGAAAGAATGAGTCTCAGGGTATTCTAGGTGAAACCTCAGCTTGTCGCGGACTTAGGAATCTGTACGGACCAGCGCCAAAAGCATGGACTTTGGACGCTGGATTTCACTTCTCTCTCCAATTAGCACTTCTTTCTTGCCTCAAGTTTTCCACCTTTGATTAACTAAGCTAAGCTTTCTTACATGTTTTTTTTAAATAATTTTTTATTTTAATTGTCATTTTGACAAAAGTTTACAGAAAAGTTAGGTTTTCATTCATTCATTGTTGCACATTTTATCACCTCTTCCTCCCTTCCCCCTCCCCAAGTTGACTTTTTAAAATTAGTTTATTTACAATATTCTAATATAAATTCTAACAAGTTCGTTCAATTTCCCTCACCCCCCTCATCAAATTGTACAACCCAATGATTAATTCCCTCTTCCCCCTGTACATCCACTTCCCTCTGCTTCCAACCTCTCCCACCCCTCCTGGATCCTTATACTCATTCTACAATAACGGTCTTATACAATATTAATCCTTGTGGGACTGAGTTCACTCAGCTAATGCTCTCCAGTCCCTCCCAAGTTAGGTAATAATTTACAATGTTCTTGCTCTTGTGTGCTGCATAGTATTCCATTTAGTGAGTGTATCATAATTTTTCAATCCATTCATTTATGGCTGGACATTTGGACTGTTTCCATGTTCTTGTGATGGTGAATAATGCTTTCTTACATGTTTACAAAATTTTCTGGTGAGCTCTGGTGGCTTAGTGGCAAGAAGGTGTACTGCAACCTCAGAGGTGCACGGTTCAAATCCCTCAGATGCTCTGCTGGAGAAGGAGGAACAATCTCCTCCTGTACCAGTCAGATCTGATTTGACGGTACACACACACACACACACACACACACACACAAAATAATAAAATAAATTAAAAAATGACTTTAAAAAAATTTTCTTACAAAATTCTGACTACTCTCCATGGAGAAAGCAAGGTAATGTACACAGTCTTGGGGCTCCTTCTAGAAGCTTCCTCCCCTTCCACTGAGGATGGCACAGGATAGACAGGGTTCAGATTTGTTACTCAAAAGGTTGCTCCAAGTTTTGGTCAACTAGACGATACCTAACAACAACGTGCAACTGATATTGTTGTTACTCTGTCCTGGCTGGGTTCATCCCTCTGCTGGAGGCCTCTGTGGCTTTAGGAAAACTTATGCAATAGCAATGCTAATGTCTCCCATTTGTGTTCTTCTTTATGATTCTTGATGTCCTTAGCTCCTCTGAGTCCCTCAACAACATTGTGAGGCAAAGGAAATTGAAGCCTCTTGTGGTTTTGCCCAAGGCCGCATGGGGGTAATTAGTAGTGGAATTAGACTCTTCTGAGACTCAGATTGAGTGCTTCTGTCCTTTCCACATGACAATGTTTTCACTGTCCCTCACTCCTAAGTCTCTGTTGTTGTTGTTAGCTGCCAACAAGCTTGCCCTGATTTGTGTTGATCCTGTGCTCAGTGAAACACAATTCTGAATTTTGTATTTACAATGATTTATTCATGCACATACTTTTATTTTTTAAATTTTATTATTTTGTGTGTGTGTGTGTGTGTGTGTGTGTGCCGTCAAATTGGATTGGACTGGTACAGGAGGAGCTTGTCCCTCGTTTTCCAGCAGAGCATCTGGTGGATTCAAACCATGAGCCTCTGGGAGAAACACAATTCTGGCTGGTCCTGTGCTGTCCCTGTGTTTATTTACAAGTTGGAATTTGGTGATCCATTGAATTTTCATTGTCTCACTTTTTAAAATGGATCTCAAACTATTCTTCCACTCTATTTTAGTCTCAGTGGTTGTGTATTGTCAAGTTGGAACTGACTCAAAGCTCACACACACACACACACACACACACACGTGGGTTTTCTGAGGCAGAAAATCACATGGAAGGAGATTGCCCATCTTTCTCTCATGGAGCAGCTGGTGGATTCGAACCACGAGCCTAGGAGGTCCACTGGAACCCGTTCTGCATCCCAGAAGCACAAGCCTCCAGTGGTAGGTAGATGGTGGCAGCCTCATTTCTTTGCTGGCTGCTGTCTTGGTTTTGTTGTTACGTGCCCTCGAGGGGACCAGAAGTCATAGCAACCTTATGAAGAGCCGATGGAAACCGTGCCCTGTCCCATGCTTCCCTCATGCTTGGGCCCGTTGTTACAGTCGTGTGTCAAGTCGCTCTGTGGAAGGTCTCCTCTCTTTTGCTGACCTTCTACCTTTTTTATGATGTCATTTTCCAAGGACTGGCTTTCCTGACAAAATGTCTAAAGTTATACACAGGCATCTCACCTCATTGTGTACAAGAATCAGATTGACTAGAGCTGTGGAAAGAGTGGATAGAAAAGCTCAGTTCTCAGCAGTCAAAACAAAACAAGAATATCATCACTTCTTTGACACCCCTAAACTCCTTTCTTTGCC